ATTTTAGTAACTCACATAAATCAGAACTTGAGCTCATTTGTGGCAAAATTAAGCTCACACCAATCAAGTGTATCATGCTTGAATTGCAATTCTCGTAAGGCAATTTTCAATATATTCTTAAACCCGTTTGTCGGAGTATTAAAACTTATCTTACTTGATGTTTGTCGACAGCTGTTCCACATGTAGGATGATTGGTAGATGAATTGTGAGGATGGTTGTGATGTAATGAAATAATCCTCTCGTCGTGGTGACCTGTTAAATGATGAGTACAGTGATAATGGTTCCTCTAACTTATTAATTTTGAATAGTTCTAAGAGACAAGTGTACTTGTACAGATTGTGGACCGTCAACAACCTGTGGGTTTTAAACAAGGGCTTGGAGTGTTCTTTTTGGTAAAAGTCCACCCCCAGTCTTTGCTTATCAACAGGTCGTGTTCGGGCACACGTTTTAAACTTCTCTAGGTAAGCTTCTCTATCCCCAAACAGAATTCTTATACACTTTTTCTGTGTTTTAAAGATAGGTTCAAGTCGGTTATTGCTAATACCACCCCACACAGATATTCCAAATCCTAAATGTGATTCAAATAGAGTATGATATAAATCCTTATAATACTGCTTTGGGACAATGTGTCGTATTCTGCACAGCTTTCCTACTTCGCATTTAAGTTTTGAGTTAAGTGACTGCGTATGTGATTTCCAGTTAAGTTGGTCGTCAATAATAACGCCTAGAAATTTAGCTTCTTGAACTCTTTTAATAACTACATTATTTAAAGTTAGTATGTTCTCGTCATTTTCTACTTCCTCTTTGGCCCGTGAGGGTTTAAAATGAATAAAACAACATTTCTTAATGTTAATATGTAATAAGTTTAGTTTCATATACTTGTACACAAATGATAGAACTTCATTTCCTTTTTCGTATAGTCTTTTGACACATGTGTCTTCTATAAATATGTTAGTGTCGTCGGCAAATAGTATAAACTTTCCTATAATTGATGAGTTACGGATGTCATTAATATAAATAATAAAAAGTAAGGGACCAAGACAGCTCCCCTGCGGCACTCCATAGACTACTGGAAGTTTCTCGGATTCTTCACCTAATACCGAGACATACTGGTATCTGTTCGACAGGTAACTTGCTATAAGGTTATTTGCATTTCCACGGATTCCATAATTTTCTAACTTATGCAGTAACTTTTCATGTGATATTGTATCAAAGGCTTTACTAAGATCAATAAATATTCCAAGAACGTGTTGTTTTTTCTTGAGGCAAGATTCTACGTGGTTCACTGAGTAATTTAGGGCATAACTGGTCGAGTGATTTTTACGGAATCCGTACTGGTTTTCATATAAGGAGTTCTGTGAATGGAAGAAGCTGTATAATCTATTGAATATAATCTTTTCAAATATTTTACCAAACACAGCTAGCGTTGATACAGGTCTATAGTTTTCAAGGAGTTCCTGGTTATCTTTCTTGTAAATGGGACTAATCCTTCCAACTTTAAGGTCATCTGGAAATATGCCATCCTTCATACATTCGTTATACAGTACAGTGAGTAGAGGAGTAACTATTTTAGAGGACTGCTTAATTACATGAATCGGTATGTCACTTGCCTTGCCATTTTTAAGTTCAGATATGATTTTGCTAACCTCGTCTGTTGTGCAGTCATGCATGTAAATGCTGGAAGTGTTTGAAAGCGGTAGATAATCATAGAAACTAGGTATACTGTTTATGTTAATTTGTCCAAGATCATTGTAAGCGGTATTTAGGTCAGAGGCTAATGATACAAAATATTTATTGAATTCGTTTGCTATGATCCTTCTATTTGTTATCTTAACGTTGTCTATGGTGAACAGCGGCTTTATTTCACGCCGCCGTTTACCTCTTATACGATTTATTAGTTCCCAGGTCTTTTTACTATCACCGCTATTTTCAGCAAATTTACCAGAGAAGTATTCTGTTTTCACAGTTTGACGTGTTTTCTTTAGGACTTTTCTGTATTCTTTGTAGATAAGGTAGCGACTACGTTTTAGTGAGCATTCAGGGCACTGGCAAATGCCGCCCTTGTTATCAGTTTCCCCGAGTTTACATTTTCTATTTCTTATCTCAACCCAATTTTCGTACAGTTTATGCTGATTATTAATTGAGCAAATGAGACCGGGAGTTATCCAAGGGTTAACCTGAACAGTTCTCTTAGAGGTTTTCGGGGTCTCTAATTTAAACGATTTTTCGACGCAGTTTTTGTAAGTGTCATGGAATTCAGTAAAGTTATGGATTGTTTTAGTTTTAAGCTCATCTTCAAGATCCACTAGGAAGCCGTTAACATTTGATTGACAGAAGTCGTAATATTGTTTAAAAGAAGTTTTTTCAGAGTTGACTTCAACATTCCAGTTAAATGTGTTAAAAATAGGTGAGTGATGAGTTATTCGTTCTTTTAGGGTGCCTGAAGTAATCACATTCTCAATATCGTTAGTAATAATGTTATCTATGCAGGATGCTTTACAGCCTGGTTTTTCGTGGGTAACAATAGATATTAACGGACAAAATCCTTTACTGAATAATATTTCTTCATATTTTTGAACATTTTTGTTATCTTTATCATGAAGATCGATATTAAAGTCTCCAGCTAGATAACTAAACTTCGGCATGTGATCAAGAAGGTTAGAAAGTTCAACTAGAGCTTGGGAAATACAGCCACTTGGTGGACGATACAAAACACCTACATTAACAGGTTGATCTTCGTTACTTAATGATAAGACAAGTATTTCTAGATGTTCTGTGACTTGTGATATATTCTCAATTACAGTAGCATTTAATTTATCGTCAACATAAAGGGCTACTCCAGTGCCCTTTTGTTTGTTAGGTGCTGTGTCCTGATAGTAACTATTATAACCGTCGAGCTGAAATAGATTGCTTAATTCTTTTCCAGTGTTGGTTTCAGCTAGGGCTATTACGGAGAATTTTGTTTTGTACCTACAGGTTTCAATGGCAAGGTTGTCAAAATTTGATTTATTTCCATCAATATTTTGAAAGAGAATAGATGATTGTTTCTTTACTTGGTTGCAGAGAATATTTGTAAGGTCAGATGCAGTGTATGAGTTACAATCATTTAAAGTATTTGAGATTTTGGTTGTGTATTCGTCTAGGTTGTTGTCGTCGTCGTCATTGTCAGTGAGTAGTTTAAATGGGTTGTATTTAACCTTGTCTAAATGGATACAACGAGTACAGTAAAACTCATTAGATTGGCTATTTGGATTTGATTTGCGATAGCATTTATGGTGCATTATGCAGTCACAGTGAAAACATTCAACTATTGTTTGGCCGATGACTATGTTCTTAGAACAGACAGGACATACCTCCTTAATGAGGGGAGTCATGGTTGGTAACCATCCACGTGACCCTGACTAGCAGCAGCAGGAACAACAGGACCAGTTTCTCTTCCAGCAGTCGCATCCCTGTAGGATCTATCGTCTACCCTTGTGGACCTCCTCTTCCTTTTGTCGATACCACCGTTAATCCTGAGAAGAACAGTGTTACGAATAAATTGACCTAACTTTGCTAGTCCCCTCCAGTTGAGGTGAAGGAAGTCCGGTTTTTGGTATTTGTTGAGGTCGCGAGAGAGAGAGCGGTCAAGGAGACCATCCCTATCACAGAACTCATCAAATCCATCCACATAACTGACACCAAAATTGGACGGGAGCAGCCTACATCGAATCAAACTGTTAAAGTATATAAGCTTTCTATTTAAATCAGCACGTTTAGAAGGAATTGTTGGACAAACATATACATGCACACCCGGATTAATAGATTGAATCTGGGCAATTTTTGAAACTAGATGGTTGTAGATTATATCAATATCGTTTTGGCTTTTTACATCTGTTTGTTTCAGGTCATTAACCCCACACAATATAACACAGTTTCTATAGCCACAGGACACATAAGGATCAATGCTATCGACAGTTGGGGCAAAGAATCGTTTTCCAGGAAGCCATTTGCCGAATGACTTGGCAGGATCAGAACCGAATTTCAGTCCGCCGGTGTTCGAGTCCCCAATTCTAGGATAGAATTTAAAATTTGGTTCTTTGTATGTTGTATTCTAGGAATTGTGTGTTATATATAAATGAATGTATGTTATAATCACCGAGTCTAGTAATTGTTTAAAAGAGTTCTCTGGCAGTTACGAAACTCGAGAGACTGTGGGATACTGAAGGGAAAGGAAGCAGTTCTAACGAGCGCTTCTCAAACACAAGATTAGATTAGATTAAGATTAGATTAAGAATAATGACATAAACATCATCACTAGTTTAAAACATTCTTTCTGATTTCCTCATTATCAGAACTGTGAACATTTCACAGCCTTCGTCATTAAAAAAAAAGGATATATCTTGTGAACTTGGCTAGTATATATGAAACATTTGTCATGGAGTTGTAGAGGGAGTTATGTGCCTCGCCGGGCTAAAGTAGTGGATGTCCTTGCTGTACGGCAAGTTAAACAAGGAACTGAAACTACTAGGTTCCGTACAGACTCACCTCTGCACCCGTGTCAATATGTTCATTATATGCAAGCCTCTTGATTTATAATGTATAAAACGAAGATTCAGAGGATACATCGAAAATAAATAAACTTTTCATAAATTCACGGTCTATCTCATAGTTCATAGTATAATTAAAATTTTAAATACATTACTCGGCATGTGATAGGGTTGAACATTAATGATTTACTGGCTTCGATGTACAGATATTAGAATTATGTTTTCGGTTAAACATTTATGATTTACTGGCTTCTATGTATAAATATTAAAGTTACAGTGCATTGATTCAGGAAAATGATATCTTTGATATTATTTTGCAAAGTAATTGTTTCTTTGTCACAATAAGATGTTTATTTCTGAAAATTCAAATACTTATTATACCCCTCATGCTCCGAAGTAAATTGCTTACTATATTATGATTGTGCTTTATATTACAATTACCATAGGATGCAGTTTCATCACCAAGAATAATGTTCAAAGCATCATCACACTCCAAACAAATCAGATTCGACTGTCATCCTATTTTCTCAAAATGGGGAAAACCCAATATCTATGGATCAGGTAAACTGTATGATTTTACATTAAAAGAAAGCAAGTGTCAACACAAATCCACTGGACCTGCCCTTCTCACATACAGTCCTGCCATAGCATTACCACTTTGCCGGAAAATGGATGAATTAAACAAGCCAATGAATCTAAATTACAAGCGACATCTCCTTGAAATGCAAGATGGGGGTAAAGTCGGGGTTGATGAGGTTACTGACAGTTCTATATCAAACGTAAATTACCCTAACATTTTATACATGCCTGCTGGGGGAGTTACATCATATTCCCCTCGCAGTAAAATATGGTCTTCTTGGTTTTTGGAGGCAGGTTATCCTCGGGTGTTTATATGGAACCGAAGATGTTTTAGTAAGGTCCCTCAACACAGTCCTCAAATCAGTATTCCCTATGGACAGTATAATGATATTCATGGTGTTATGGATTATCTTTCAGACTATCTACCCAATGAGAAATGGATAATTATAGGAAGTTGCTTTGGTGCGCAATTTGTCTTAGATTTCTTCAGTCAGTCGTCATCTGATAGACATGACATATTAGGGGGAATCGTTGACGGCTTTCAGTTCAGTGGGAAAACGTTTTTAAAGGGGATGCATACAACAACATCGTTGCTTTTTAAAGCAGCACGGAAGTTAATGGGGGAGAGTTTTGTTGATGCTGCATTGAACCATGCTGCTGATAAAGATATCTACAACCAAGTGTCTCATTTAGTAGATAGAAAGAAGTTCAAGGGTATTGATTTTTCTACAGCAAGTTGTTCAAAACTCATTACCGAGGAATTGTTATGTAAAATATGCCCTGATGCTCCATTTAGCAATGAAGAGGAGTATTATGCTATGACAAGCCCTTACTATGATGAAAATCACAAACACTTCCTCAATATCAAGAAGCCTGTAGCTATGATTTTATCACAAGATGATCCATTTTCCCCTTTTGATTTGAATACGATAGAAATCCTGAAAGAAAATCCTAATCTGTGTTTGTGGCTCTATCCAGGAGGTGGTCATATAAGTTTTACTGAAAAGCTATTTCCGTATACATCATACCTTAAAGACGTCTATTTGGAAAATGCAAATTTGTTGATTAGAAAACAGGATGAATTATGATCTACATTCTACATTGCATGGTGAAATAAAATCGTTGAATGAAGCATAGATAATTATTCAGATATTTTTGTTCAAGATCCGTTTATCAACTTTAATAACTTTAGGCTTACGTAGTTTGAATTGTTTGTTATTAAAATTTTTATTATTAAAATTGTTTATTGTTAACATTGTTTATTATTAAAATTAACTGTAAGGCACATAATTTAAATCTTCAATATATTGTTATGAGTATTTTGATGGATATTTTATGGATGTTTTATGGATATTATTGATGATCTTATGTATGCCAATTTAATTATTATATAATCAAGTTTATTTTGATTAGGGAGATGGTGTAAGAATTAAAAAGCCTTATGTCGAAGCGTGTTGTGGATTGGACATCCCCGGATGTTATGGTTTGGCTCACCAAAAACATGAATAAGGTGAGTTTTAACAAGCTAGTACTTGTTATCAATGAAATGTTTGACTGTTTTTACTGAAAAATGGCTTAATTTGTATCATTCTAATCTCTAAAACCCTATTTTTACTAATGAATGTTGATTATTATTGACAGTATAGGTAGGGTGAACGATTTCAGCCATCTAAAAATTATCTTGAGACCCAGAAATTCTGGTTGGAATCACAAATACGTTAGATTTGTTTTTGTGCCACCACCCACCGTGATTAATGCTTATGATTGAATACAATTTCATGTATGTTTTCATTAGCTAAATTCTCAAGAACTATTTCACTTCTTACAGTGCTTAGTGACTTAACTATTTCTTATCGTAGGTACTATAATAACTATAATCCATACTTTTAATTGAAATAGCAATTAATTATTTGCACTGATTATCATGGTACATAAATACATTACCTGAAAGCACCTCTTTACAATATCTTAAAATTCATTTTGTTTCTAGAGTAATGCCGCAAAAGAAATATGACAATTTTATTCACTGTTCTACAATCTACTCGAAATACGGAATTTAAACGGGATTTCAATACCTAATCAAAAATATAATTTGGACAAACTGGGGTTATTTTGAGGAAAGATCATGCTCTTAGCTGATGGATTAGCGTATATAACTCCACTTTTGATCTATTTGACGGCCACTAATTATTTTCATAATTGCACAAGTTTTTTCCAAGGAGTGCGATTACAAAACTAATTGCACTGTTTTGAAAGCAACCGAAAACATATTCGGTGCGATTACAAAACTAATCGCACTGATTTTCTGAAAGATACTGTGAATTGTGATATATTAATAGCTTTCAGAGGTGATTTAACGGGTGGTACTTGGGTGGTCTGAAAATCCACAGCAGGCAAGCAAAACGTTCAAACAATCATCACAACTGCATATAATAGGGACGGGCCGATTCTCGGTCCATCCCATCCTAGCAGCCAATAGCAATCGATGAGTTATGTCACGTGACTCAGATCCGACCAATCACATAACAGGAGCAATGAGCATCGGACGGTTGTCGGTTATCCTATGTTTACTTTTCTTATCTGTATTTGACCCTCTGTTGAGGTGGTTATCAGACATTTTTGTGGAGCTACTAGATTGTACAAATCAACGGAGAGAGAGTCGGCGGATGACGTCACTTTTTTTCTCGGAGGAGGTTTCGGGTTGAAGTACGCTCTTCTTTGAGTTGCTCAGTGCTCTCAAAACAGTGCGATTAGTTCACGATCTCACTGTTTTTAGAGCAACTAACAACACAGTCCGTGCGATTATAAACTAATTTCACCGATTATATAACACCAGATGCGTGGAGTTATACGCGAATCTAACTGCTTGTATAATACGATTACACCAGTTATTGCACTATGCTGCGCCTCGTGAAATAACAGCAATAATCGAACTCGGCTTCGCTGCGCCTCATGCAATTCATAGTGTAATCGCATTATATGCAGTTAGATTAGCGTATATAATTCGTATTATAATTCGTATTATAATTCGTATTATAATTCGTATTATAATTCGTATCATAATTCGTATTATAATTCGCATTATAATTCGTATTATAATTCGTATTATAATTCGTATTATAATTCGTATTATAATTCGTATTATAATTTGTATTATAATTTGTATTATAATTCGTATTATAATTCGTATTATAATTAGTATGATGACTCCACTTCTGGCCTATTTAACGGCCACTTATATCTTTTGTCGGTTTTTCTTCCTCCAGGCTAAATGAAACTTGTGACCAGACAGGGAGTGCGATTACAAAACTAATCGCACTGATTTTCTGGAAAAGTACTGTAATATCGTGTTACGCAATTTTCTGCCCATACGCTAACATAAGTTTACAATAGTTGCACGAGCGTAATAATACAGCTCAATAATACGGTGTCAATAAAGTAAATAGTGTAGTGATACATTGTGGAATGTGGGGCCAAAAGCAAAAGTGTGACAAGCTCACAAGCTTGTTTGCGTAGTCAGATGGTTATCAGCACCAGTTTTAATATGATAATGATAACATGTAATTCTACCCGAGAACTACCTAAGAACGTCTTTAAGATAAGCTCGCTGAAAGGAAGCAACGAGCACTGAACAGGTATGGAAAATAAAAGCGAATGTAAATTCTGCAGGTCTTCATATACTGTAGGTATTTATTCCGCTTCTAACATTACGGTAATGTACAACATCTAGACATGTTCCGAGAATTGTGTTTCCACTGGTATTAACACTACATCACGTGTTTGGGACCCGGGTTTACGGATAATTAGGAATTTGTAGATTTGCAGATTAAAATATGTACAAATTTACAGATTTGCAGATCCATAGGTCTAGTCCATATTTCTTTTGAAACGTGACAGTGATTATGGGTTTTGATCAGTCAATACTCAGTATCAGCCAATCGGATGCCAGTATTTACGGTACTGGAATCCGATTGGTTAATAACAGTCACATGTCAGAAAAAAAACATGGTCCACCTCCCCACCAGTATCCACATCTACAGATTTATGGATTTTCAGATATATGAACCTGGCGTGTTTAACCTTTTTGCAGGATTCGTTTAATAAAGTGACCACTTTCTGACTTTCAGTTGTCTGAGGCAAAATGATAGTTAATATTTGGAGTTTGGTCTAGACTTTATCCTATTTTATTTCTCCGCTAACACAGCACCAGATTTTAAAACTTTTAAAGCTTTCTTCTTTGATCATTAAAATGTAATTTTATGTTTACTTATGACGAATAAAGTTACATAATAATACAAATAAGTTACATAATAATACAAAAAAGTTATAACAATGCTTACATTTACTTTTGTACGAACAGTGAAATTAACACCGTATACGTATGAAAAGTACTGACTAATCTGGTGGATTCGTGTAGTGTTTTTGAGTCTCATGATTTGATAGTTCTTTTATTCAAATTTCTGATTGTTTCTGAATAGACTCAGTGAAGACAGATTCTAATGGAAATAAATAGCTGAATAACGTATCGACATTTCTACGTCATACAGTACTGACTATATACATTATTAAGTTACTATAAATTAACACTGTATCTACTAAAGTGACGGTTAGAACTAACCCAGTATAGTAGCAGCCTGAAGAAGGAACTAGGAAGTGAAATGAATGTGTATATCGGAAATATATTGTTAGTACCTATACTACTGCACACCACCATGTATGGTCAATAACAAGCAGTGAACACTGTCTGTCCTTACCTGTCACGTGTGTAATGAACTTTTCTTAGTACTCAAAATAAGCGTGAAATGTGAAATATGTGGAATTCCTGAGCAGTGTTCGTTAACAATTCCCAGTTCTGTCAATTTAGTATCGAAAACTTATATACTTATAATGAGTCGTTAAAACACCGCATTCTTAATGAAATCACAACTTGATAGTCGATACTCTACACAAAATATAGAAGTAATAGAACTCTACACCAAGTATAGAAAGATAGAAGTCAAAATTGTCTCTCATCCTGATCTTATCACTGCATCATGAAGTAGTGCTATATACACTGTACAGTGTTATATACACTGTATATATATTATATATATATTATAATATATACTCTATACAGTGTTCTTAAAATTCTTCACAGTAAACCAATTAAAAGGGACTTGGTGTTCACATCCAGATGAGATATATCTGACAAAAAGAGAAGACAACAGAAAATGAAATGAGGTATTTACTATTGATATCCCGCTCATATGATTAACCAACAACACAAGGAAGGTGGTTAACCATGTCAGAGCGGCTGACTGTGAGTGATGTGAGCAAATGAATTCAAGTTTTAATACTTTTATTAAATAGTTAGATTAACACCATTTCCATTTCTAAAACATTACGAGGTCCTTATTCTTCTTTTCTTAGCTTTAAAAAAAACAAGCAGTGAGTAAACACATATGTGAGTACTCATTGGAATTATTTAGTTATTCTGTGGACAAATTAATAGCTAATAAATTGTTCTAAAGAAAAAGAAGAGTTGGGAGGGTTTCATTTTTCAATTGTTACGAAAGGCTATGTCACTAACTAGATATTTAGAGAACTTCAATTTAAGCAAATATACCTTTGGTCTTTTCAGTTTCTATGTATCTGAGGTATTTTACAATGTGTACCATGGCATAATTGAAATTCCAGGTGCGGTTTTGTAAATGACTTCATGTTACTTCATTTATCCGGTCGGTAACACCACATCTGTCCGACAGCGACTCTTGTCCAACTCATGTTACCAGAAAAAACGACATCTGTCCGAAATTGGAAAGGCCTTGGAAATTCTCTGTCGCACTTGAGTTCGTGTCGCACTACAGTCCATGTAGCGTACTGTAGTGCGACAGTGTCGATCTTGGAGGTTTTCGCACTAGGGTACGTGCAACACAAGGGTACGTGTCGCACTACAGTACGGGAATCATGTTATCTCATTATAAACAGGGTTTATTTGTTAGATTACGTGTATTATGTTAAAGTATTAACACTTGTTCTCGATGGATCACATCAGCGTTAGAACAGTGGGAGCAACGTCACAAGATTACCCGTGAGCTTGTGAAATACGAATGTGATCCGAAATTGCAAATGTGATCGGAAAGTCGGACAGATGTCGCCAAAAACGACTCCTGTCGGACAGATGTCGCCCAATCACTTCGGTCACAGGATACAACGTTTATATAACAGTAGTTTATCAGTCAATGGAGCTTTTTTCACTGATACTGAATGTGTACTGCAAAGTGTTGCTTGCTCTTGTTTAATAAACTAAATTAGCAACTATAACAACAGTGCCACATATTTTGCCACAAAGTTTCCACATATTTTGCCACAAAGTTGCCACATATTTTATACCTCTAACTTACCTTAATCTAAGTCTTGCTCCATAGGCGACTGTTACTTTATCAATAATAGCATCAATTATACACATTTCTGTAACACTAGTATAGATAGTTTTACTTTTCTAACTTCCTACTTTCTAACTTTATACTT